CCCCCCCCCCCAACCATGCTGGTTGAATGCTAGCAGTGGTAGGATGAGGCTTTTCAGTGGGCATTAGTTTTCCACTTAAGGGCTTCAATTAGCACCTGAGCAGGAAGGCCACCCACAGATCTTCCTGCACAGAACATAAAGAAGTGAGGACTCTGGTGGACCCCCAACCCAAGCCCTCCTTTGCCAAACTGGCCCACCCTACCTTAGAAGTTGTCTCTGGGTGACTGCATTAAATGCCATTCTCAATCTACTTATTTTATCAATTCTGGACTGGTGCCTCCGAAGTAGGCTTCCTGTGTTTTCAGTAATATTTTAAGTTGCGTTGCATTGAATTGAGATGCTAGTTTTCTTTTGAATTCTATTTTTTTCAATAATTTGGAAGAGCTCCAGTGAGAACTAAATTGCCAGCATTGAACAGTACAGTGCCATCCTGACTTGGAAATCTATCCCCATTCCTACACTATAACTGGGTCAAAAACCTGGAATTCCCTCCTTTTAAGGACATTGTGGGTTTACCTACAGCACAAGGACTGCAGCGGTTGAGGAAGGCCACCTTCACCACCACCACCTTCTCAAGGCCAACTAGGAACAAGCAATAAATGCTGGCCTGCCAGTGACGCTTACATCCTGTGAATAACATTTTAAAAACAAAAAAGGCACTTAATTCTGATGTTGAAAGTTGTTTTCCAAACCACACTACCAAATGTAAGTACTGGTTATTTTATTATTACCAGCCCCTAATTCATAGCACTCATAATGTACCGTGCACATCACACAAATGCTAAGCAAACACCATCTCCAACAAGGAAAAATCCATCCATTCACTCTTGATGTTCAATGCTGAATCCCCAGCTCTTGCCATCATGGGGTTTACCATTGGTCCAGTTCAATTTCTGGTCAATCATGTGAAGTTGGAGGCTAGAAATTCAGTAGGGAGCAACTTGTCTTCTATTTCCCTCGTGCCTATTCGCCATCTATAAGGCACAAGTCAGGAGTGTGATGCAACCTGCTTGATTGGTACCTCATCCTTTAACATTGACTCCTTTCACCACTGATGTACAGTGGTAGCAATGTATACCTTACATAAGTTGTACTGCATTTAACTTGCCAGGGCTTCTTTGACAGCTCCTTCCAAACCCATAACCTCTATTAACTGGAAGAACAAAGGGATCCAAGCCAAACACTATCCCCACTTGGACCTATATTAATATCTCTGAGTCACAATCCTGGAACTCTGTTCTGAACTGCATTGTGGGTGCACCTACTCTCCAAGAAATACAACAGTTCAGGAAAGCAGCTCACTGCCACCTTCAGACAATAGGGCTGGGTAGTAAAAGCTGCCTTAGCCAGCACTGTTCATGTCCCATGAGAAATTACAGGAAAAAAAATTAAATCACCAAGTATCCATTAATGATTGCACGCAAAATTGAATGGCAAAGGATGGTATCCAAGAAGTCATCTAGACTATCAATCAATGCAGTGCAAGCAAATGTTATTTTTCTGCAGTGTATTTAGAGAGTAACATGCCCTGCTCCACTTACAAAGCATAACTGTTACTGCACTAATCTCTTTGAATCCATAACTATCATCTTGGCTCCGCCCTTTGCATAGGTAAGACCTATTGAATTACTTTTCCAAATGCTGTTCTTCAACCATACAGTCCATACATCCTCTCCGTCAGAAGCTTCTTGCTGTAATGTAGTGCACAAAGTACATTCATTACTTTGGCCATTCCCAACTTTGCTTCTAACTGAATCCTAATAACCTTTCCATTCTCTACATTCCAAACTATCTCCCACTGTAAATTTCTGTGCATTGTTGGAGTGGCTGAAAGTTTGTCATCAGAAGTAAATATATTCAGATTTATTTTCTGGTCAATGAAATGCTTTTACAATGTAGTCACTGTTATAATGCAGGGCAACCTGGCTGCTCCCACAGTAGCAATGAAATTATTAAGGTGGTCATTTGTTTTTAGTGATGTTGGTAGACGGAAAAATATTAGCCATTTTGAATTATGCTGTGGGATCTTTTACATCCGCCTCAGTTTAAAGTCTCATTGAAAGATGGATGCCTTCCAACAGTTGAGCATTCCCTTGGTACTGCAGTGTATTGTCAACTTAGGTCATGTATGTGAGACACTTGAATTGGTTGTGAATTCACTACCTTCTCAATCACATGTTGACTTCCACTGAGCCAAGGCGGATGTGACACTTTTTGTGGGAGAAGGATGGTGACAAGACATTATGATGCAATTTACAATATCCCCATTATGTACTGTATTGTTAATTTGAAATGGTAATTATTTGTAGAGAGAAAATTGAAGCACCATTAACTAGTTGTTCAATCAATGACTGCAAATAAGATGTGTTTCATGAATTAATAGAAATGATGGCTTTGGATGTGAAATGTTTAAACTCCGGTTGCACGCTAACTGTTTCTGATTTTCATTCAAGCATTAATTTAATAAATTGCTTCCTTGTGAATTTTTGATTAGCTTAGAGAAAAATGTCTGGAGAATCTTTTAGCAGTAGTTTTTAATCAGCTCGTATTTTATGTAGAAACAAAATACTGCGAATACTGAATATCTGAAATAGAAACAAAAGTTTCTGGAACTAGACAGTGGGTCTGGCAGCATCTGTGGGGAGAGAAACAAAGTTTAGTGTTTCAGGTCGAGATGATCTTTTATCGGAATTTCTACAGCTAGGAATAAAAGCCATACCCAGAATGATGGATTTTCAGAATTTCTAGCTTTTTATTTTTCAGATGGCAGTAATGAACTGAGTATCCATATTGTCCTTTTTGGTGAATGTTGAAGAAGGAAGAGCCAGGGAAGTGCTCCTTGATGCCCTGGTCAATGTTTATCCCTTAGTCTACTTTGCTTTTTGGTTGTCTGGCCTTTTTCTCATTTCTGTTTGGGGGGTGGTTTGTGTGAATTGGCTACCTCACTTCCTACATCATAACAGTACAATTTGACAAAACATGGAGATACTTTAAAAAATTTGTATAGAACCTTGGTTAGATCAGAGTACAGTGAGGTCTGTTCATCATATTAGCAAATGGATATAGAGACAGTGGCGAAGATGAGAAAAGATTTAAATGACTGATACCCAGAACTGAGAGGTGAGTATGTTTGAGAAGGATTGGCAGTCTAGATTGCTTTCCTCTGGAGAAGGCTTTGAGACGCTGTTGTAATTTTTAAAGATGCACATAAAAGGTTTTGCTGGAGTAGACAGTGAGAGTTTTTTATTTGATTCATTATTGTCACATGTACCAGTAACAGTGAAAAGTTTTTTGTTTTGTGTGCGTGCAATATGGGCAGATCATACATTACAAAGTGCAAAAGGGTAATAGAACAGAGTCAAGAAATCAAAAGAAGCTAGCTCGAGGGTGGTGATAATGTGGAAACTGATGCTGCAGGGAGCAGTTGAGTCAAATATTATAGAACTATCTAAAGGGAGACAATAAAAATATGTTGGAGGCAGGGAACAAGAGGATGGGGGTGAGGGAGAAAGGGAGAGGGTGTGCTGAGGTAATAAAAGTGTGCACTGATAGTTGGGTAAGGGTGATAGGAGGACTGTGAGGGATACAAGACTTTAGGTTGAGCCAAATTGCTTTATGTGCCCTGTAGAATATACATAACGAGGACCTTGTAAAAACCTGGCATTGTGAAATGATTTGTGTAAATGTAGGAGATTTTACTTGTATTTCTAAAGGTCAACTTCATTTGGAGGGATATTGAAAAGGGTGTGCATCGTTGGCACAGTCAGGCCAAAGGTTTTCAAAGGATGACAAAACCAAGCAATTTAGAGAGCACATTCTGAAGTGCATCTTTATGACAGTATTCTTGCTTGTCTGTCAAATCCATAAATTGATATTTTTCTTATTGCTTTGTAATATCGCTTCAGTATTAAAAGAATATGTTGCAGAACCAACCGGGGGCAGACATTTTTGGATACAGTATTATGCAATGAGAAAGGGTTAATTAATAATCTTGTTAAATTTGACAAACCTGAGGTAGTTACTAGCAGTGTTGATAAGGGGGAACCAGTGAACATGGTGTATTTGGATTTTCAGAAGATTTTTGATAAAATCGTAAAGGCAAGATTAGTAAATAAAATTAAAGTGCATGACATTGGTGGTAATGTGCTTGAATGGATAGTGAGACTTCTTATGAGAAGACTAGGTCTTTATTTTCTGATGTTTAGAAGAATGAGAGGCAATCTCATAGAAATTTAAACATTCTTAGTGATAGACAGAATAGATGTAAAGAAGGATGTTTCATCTGGTTGTGGGGTCTACAGCTGGGCGGAGGGGGGCACGGTACAGTCTCAGAATATAAGGCAAGCCATTTAGGACTCTGAGGAGGAACCTCTTCAGTGAGCATGGTGAACCTTTGGTATTTTCTACTCCTGAGGGCTGTGCAAACTCAGTCAGTCTGAGGCAGCAAGAGATTCCTAGTTAATAATGATATCAAGATATAGGGATGCCATGAGAATATGACATTGACAAAGATGATCATCAATAATCTAGAATGGAAGAGTAGACTTGAGGGGCTGAATGGCCTACATCTGCCACTGTTCATATGAAAATTTTAATTGAATTCTGTCCAAGTCTTCATTTACCCGTGGATTAGTGAATACTCTTACAATTTTCAATCAATATTTTGTTCTTCAAAAAATTTATTTTGGAAAAACCCAAATGTTTAGATTCCTATATGCTGTATTGAATTATAAAATAATAGGAAGTTTTTTACAATTATCCAATTTTAATGAGCCAGATCTTGCAAAAATGGGCCATCACCCATCAAGCACTCTTCGAGTTCACCCTACACCCTTCAGCTCAAATGTAATTTGTGCTGTAGCTAACTGTAAATGAAAATTGATAACTGCAGAGAGATTCATTTGACATTGAATTAGTGATTATCCTATCATTAAGGGTATTTACAATGTTACTTCCCAGCCCTAACTTTCTATGGAGAGTCTAATTGGCAACCAATGTGCTAATCCAGCAAAATCTCAAAGGCTATGAGACATTCTCTTCGTACAAAGCAAAGTGTGCTATAAATCAATGAGCAACTGTTTACAATATATATTGATGTCTCGGAAGAAGGAAGTGAATCTGCTGTAGTCAAATTTGCAGACAAAAATGGGTAGGATGGCAGGTTGCAAGAGGGGTACAAATGATTTAGAGAGATGAATACGTTATGAGAGTAGACAAGAAGTTGGCAAATGTAATATGAGGGAAAATGTGAAGTTGTTCATTTTGAAAGGGAGAACAAAAGAACAGAATATTATTTAAATGGAGACAAACTGCAAAAAGCTGCAACCCAAAGAGACTTGGGGATGCTTGTGTACATACACAGAAAGCTAACACACGGGCAGCAGGTAATCAGGAAGGCTAATGGAATGTTGGTTCTTATTTCAAGGGGGTTGGAATGTAGAAGTAAGGAAGTCTTACTGCAAGTATACAAGATGCTGGTGAGATCACATCAGGTGTACGTTGAGCAGTTTTGGTCCCCTTAAATAAGGAAGATATTGAAGGCAGTTCAGAGAACATTAGTGAGGTGCGGAGGCATTGTCTAATGAGCAAAGACTAAACAGGCTGGGACTCTGCTCACTGCCGTTTAGAACAATGAGAAGTGACCTGATTGAAACACACAGAATTGTTAAGGGGCATGACAGAGTAAATGCTCAGAGGATGCTTTCCCTCAGGAGAGTCTAGAACCAGAAAGAGAGAGAAATTATTGATCATGAGAGAAATAAAGGGTTACAGGGAAAATGCAAGAAAGTGGCCATAACGAATGTTGGATCAGCTACGATCTTATTGAATGACTGAGCAGGCTCAAGGGGCTGAACAGCCTACTTGCTCCTCTTATTTCTTATTGCCATATTCTGGTAATTCCCAATTCTCTGTATCCCTTGATCCCTAAATTTGCTATCTTAATTGATACCTTAATGGTGTGTCATTAACCCAGATTTTATTTTTTCCCCAGGAAGATTTGTCCTAACATTTTTAGTTTTGTCATGCTCGCTTTGCTCTCCTCTTGTGATATTCTGGAAACCTGCATGATCTTGAAACCCTGAGTTCTCACATACACTTAAGCCTTCAGAGGCAGGCACTGTTACAAGTACTCCCTTCGTCAAGTTAAATTGTACAGCTCAGTTTCATTTATTGCCTTGTAACAATGTCAAATGTTTAAAATTGCTGATATGATAGTTTACTTTCCTGCTTGCTATGCTTTGCTTGTCATGTTCCATCTCAGTTAAGTTCTGATGTATTGTTACTTTATGAATATGAAATTTGAATCCCAGCTGGATTTACTTAGGTAAACGTGACTGAATCACTGCAAATTTGACACAGGAATGTCACTTATGATTCTGTTGATAATTGGATGTGACACGGTGTAGATGTAACTAGTCTTGTTATTAATAAAATTATTTATGATTTGTCCTCTTATTAACATACATGCACTCTTTGTTTTACAAGTAATAACTGTCTAGGTTCGAGCATTTAATCTTCATTCTTCTTTTAGGAAGAAACCTTAGCCCTCCGAAAAGAAGGAATTGGTGTGGTTTTGGATTCAGAGTTACCTCATTTGATTGGTATTGACGATGACTTGCTTAGTACTGGAATTATTTTGTACCATCTTAAGGTAAGAATGTCTCGTGTCATCCAGACAGTGTTATTTTGATCAGATCAAATCAAAAGTCAGATACGACCATTTTAAAAGTATTTTGCTGTGTTGTAAGTTAAATGTTGCATGAACAACAACTTCCCGGATTACCTAGGTATGACAGATGAGCTTGTACTCAAAGTCCAAGAGCAAATGTATTTTTCCCAGAATGAGGATTTGCTCAAAACAATATAGTAACTGCAGAAAAGTAGCAGGAATTTCTTGAGGCAAAATAAATAAACATGAGTTCTATTGATTTTGAAATACAAATACCGAAACATTTTCATGTAATAGTACTGAGAATGATGAAATAGGGTTTTTCTGCTAACATTGTAAATGTGCCAGTGAAGAAATACACATCTTTGGAACTTTGTAAAAATCTGTAATACATGTAATTTTAAAAATGCTGTGCTTTATGCATGCAATGCTGTGACCATTCAGAGTCTCCCTGCCTCGTTGGAGTTTAAACAGCTAAGATTGATAATCAACAGCTCCTGCAATATCTACATATCAACCGTAGTTCAGTCAATCAATTTTCTTTACTCATGCTGTACAAATTGTTTCTTTCTAAGTTTGGTTTCTTGCACTGCAGTCCTGATGAGTGCAATATTAAAAAAACTTTGACTTTGTGTCCCTTCTTAGCAATGTTTTAGTTTTGTTTCACAAATATTTGTTTGAGAAACAACTACAGACAAAACAAATATCTTTGAATAATGTGTAAAACTTCAACAAAAATGATTTTCAGGTTAGATCAATTTGATCTGTTTTAACTGTGAATCAAAATAGTTAGTTATTGTAAATTGACATTATATCATTATTAGTTTTATATTCCATACTTCTAATCAAGTTTTTGGTTATATTGGGTCTAGGACATCAGAATGACTTGATGCCTTACTAAAGTTATGAACTTGATTGTTATGTTGATTTTTTTTTTTCGCTGTAACTGACCTTTCTTTTAATAGGAGGGCAAGACCTATGTTGGACGAGAGGATGCCACTACAGAGCAAGACATTGGTTAGTTCATCTATTTCCCTTAATGACTGGCATTCCAACATATCGGAAGATTTTGTTACCTTTGCACTTAACTTTTCCAATGCTCTTCAGACCAGTCTCAATTCTTCCAATTTACATCAGTCGGATGAATCAGAAAGTGCTACTGTCTATGTCCTAACTTGTGTCATATCGACTTGCCTGTCACCATTGTGAACAACCTGCAGTGACTACTGGTGTAGCAGAACTTCAATTTAAAATTATTCTTGTTTGCAAATTTCTGTGTAACATTGTCCTCATTCTTAGCTCAACACTCCCTACTTCTATAACCTCTCCAATTCTACTTTCTGGGATCTTTTGCCTTTTTGCATATGTCCAGTTTTAATCTCTTCACTGTTGTTGGCCATGCCTTTTAGTTGTCTGCATCCAATGTTTTGTTCATAGAATCCCTACAGTGTGGAAACAGGCCATTCGGCCCAACAAGTCCACACAGCCCCTTCGAAGAGCATCCCACCTAGACCCATTCCCCATGTCTAGCCCACCTAACCTAAACATCCCTGCACACTATGGGCAACTTAGCATGGCCAAAACCCACGCAGACACAAGGAGAATGTGCAAACTCCACACAGATAGTCGCCTCAGGGTGGAATTGAACCTGGGTCCCTGGCGCTGAGGCATCAGTGCTAACCACCGAGCCACTGTGCTGCCCTCCTTCTGTGGAGGATTCCTCACAGCTCCCCAAATGCAGACCATCTCTCCCTAAACCTTTGCTTCACGTTGCCCGTGCTATGCTGTGTCCTGCTTCGGCAACCCATTTGTCCCAAGTTTCAAATAAACACTGTCACATGAAGAAAGAATGACCTGTTTCAGAAAATGGCTTGCTTTTGTGCCCGCTACAACACACTGGCATTATTGCAGTTTTATATCAGCAGGTAACAGTAACCTTTCTAAGGCCTCCTCGTTCATTCGGCAGTCAACTGTTGTTCAACTGCATCGATCTGCTGGCCATAACTCAGTGCAATACACAGGAGGGAGAGCTACGCAGTGTCTTCGGCAGGAGATGTTAAACTGAGACCTGTCTGCCCCTCAGATGGACGTAAATGACTCCACCGTCATTATTTCGAAGAAGTACAGGCATCTGCACTCTGCTGTCCTGACCAATGTTCGCTCTTCAAATCATATCACCAAAACACTGGTATCCAATGCAATTTGTAAAGAACTTTGCGTCTCCATCACTCTCTCCAGAATCCCAGGCTAATGCTGTGGGGCATAGTTTTGAATCCCAACATGGCGGTCAGTGGAATTTCAATTCAATGGAAAAGATTTAAGATTTAAAAAAATGCCGGTCTAGTGGTGACAATGAGACTGTGGTCAGTTATCATTAAGGAAAAGGGTGGTTTGCTAATGTCCTCCAGGGAAGAAAATCTGGTATCTTTACTTGGTCTTGCATGACTACAAAGCCATACTAATGTCAACACTCCGAGAAAGAGTCACCAGACCCGAAACGTTAACTCTGTTTCTTCCTTCACAGATGCTGCCAGACCTGCTGGGCTTTTCCAGCAACTTTGTTTTTGTTCCTGATTTACAGCATCTGCAGTTCTTTCGGTTTTTATTAAGCCATCTCAATGTGTTTGACTTGTAACTGCCCGTGGTGAAAATTAGTGGCTAGTGACGCCCTCGTCGTATGAATAAATTTTTTTAAAAAGGCCATTTGGCACCTCAAGCCTGCTCCTCCATTCAATAAGATTATGGCTAATATGTACGTTTTGCATTCCATTGTCTTACTTTATCCCGATAGCCTTTGATTCCCTGCCTAACAGAAATCTAGCTGCCTTTGCTTTAATATTCAATGACCCTGCCTCCACTAGCCTGGGGAAGAGTGTTCCAAAGTTGCACAACCCTCTGATACAGGAAAAATATCCCACCATCTCGCTCCTAAAAGAGTGATCCTAATTTGAAATCTAGTTCTGCGTTTCCAGCAAGGAAAACATAATTTCCGTATCCTGTCTTGTCTTTCATAATTCAGTCGAGTCATCCCTCACTGTTCTAACCTCCAGTGAAAACAAGTCCTATCTGTCCAACTTTTTCCTCCTTCAGGTATCAGTCTAGCAAGCAACCTTTTAATATATTTGCATCACTACTTTAGTCAGAAACACCAAAGCTGCACACAACATTCGAGGTGTGATCTCATTAATGCCCTGAATAACTGTAGCATAAAATCCTTACTTTTGTAAGTGTGTACTTCTGTATTCAGTTCTAGTGTAATAAAGTATGCCATTCCATTAGCTTTCTTAATTACTTGCTGTACCTGAACACTATCTACTTAGTGATTCCTGGACCAGAATACCTTGATCCCTTAGTTCTTGAAATTCTGTATTTCTCTAACTTTGTTCTTGTGATTCCACCATCACTTCACCATTGGCGATTTTGTCTTTAGCCACTTCTTGCCAATCCATACTCTGGACATCTCTACATAAATTGCTGTTTATTTTCACCTATTTCTCTTGCTCCAAGCCCCTTTTTTTTTTGTAACCCATCTATTGAACTAACCTTTAGTAATTCCTAACCTTACTGTTTTGGTTTGCTATTCACTTTTTCCAGTGGGACATTTTACTTCGTTAAAAGTGCAGTACGAATACCAATTGTTGGTAGGAATATTTCATTTACATTTTGTTTGTTTTTGAGTCTCTCATGCATGTTAAATGTTGTTCTCCTGAAGTGTTTTGAAAGACTTACTCTTTCACTGTTTATCCTAGTTACAACACACTATGATGTCAATAAGATTGTGTTTTTCCAAATTTATATTGTAAACTTGGGACTCATTCTGTCTAAATTTGACTCATTTATGGCCATTTCATTGTTGATCATACGACTTGTCCTTGCATAAAATTAATGTACTATTCAGAATAAACAAATGTCTTGGACCGCTGTAGTATTTACTCTGAAAGTGATGAGAACTATCTGTGGAAGTAAATGTTAGTGAGACATAATCTTTGTAGTTATCATTTTGTCTTGCAGTTCTCCATGGTCTTGATCTAGAAAGTGAACACTGTATCTTCGAAAACCTCAATAACAAAGTAACTGTAATACCACTGAATGGTGCACAGTGCTCAGTCAATGGAAATCATATTGAAGAAGCTACTCAACTAAACCAAGGTAATCTTGTTTTTTAAAAAATATGCTTACTTAATAACTACTACAAACAAAGCATTAATCAACGGCGAGGGTGTCAAGACCAACATTTGTCGTGCACATTGCCTGTTTGTTGCCTAATTGCCCTTGAACTGACCAGCTTGCTACACTATTTGAGTGTATTTAGGGATCAACCACATTGCTGAGAGTCTGGGCCACATGTTGGCCAGACTGGGTAAGAACAGCAAATTTCATTCTCTGGATCAGATGGTGTTTACAGCAGTCAATGATTATCATGATCACCATCACTGATGTACAGCATTTATATTCAAGATTCATCAATTGAATTTAAATTCCAACAGCTGCTGTGGTGCAATTTGAACTCTTGTGCCCAGAGCATTTTCTTGTGGCTTGATTACTTTACAGTATTATTTTGGGATTACTACTATGCCACCATCTCCTCCTAATCTAGGCAGCAACGTGCCAGCCAGAGAAAATCATGGAGAAATTGTTTAATGTTCTGGCTAGATCATGCCTTCAGTTGTACATTCTTGAGGCTAAGGGCTCAAAGTCTAGAGCCGTTAAGTTACGTGGATTTGCCACGTGTGGGTGAATCGTACAGTACAAAAGAGGTTCTTCAGCTCATTGCATCTGTTGCATCAAAAATACAGTGTGAGCTACAGTAGTTGTGTGCTAATCCAAGTATTTTGAGGTTTCCTGCCTCAACTACCCTTCCAGGCAGTGCATTCCAGGCGCAGGATGAAAATATTTTTCCTCAAAACCCTCTAAACCTCCTTTCACTTTAAAATTATGCCTCCTCGTTATTTACCTTTTGACTATGGAGTACAGCTGCTTTCTATTCAGCCTGTCAATGGCCCTCATTATCTTATACACCCCAATCTGCTCCCCTCCTTAGCCTTCTCTTCTCCAAAGAAAACAACCCGAGCTTATCCAGCCTTCGTAGCTGAAATGCTCCATCCCAGACAAACATCTTGGTGAATTTCCTTTGCAACCTCCTCCTCCAGTGCAATCGCATTCTTCGTATAGTGTGGTGACCGGAACCACGCAATACTCAGCTGTGGCCTAACCAAAGTTCTGTACAGCTCCAACATAATCTCCGTGTTGTTATAATCTATGCTGTGACTGATTAAAGGCAAGCATCCTGTACATTTTGCAATAAAATATGTCAATTCAAATTTTAAGATGTTATTTTCTCCTTCTATCATGTTCCCCTGCCACCATATCTCTAAAACTGTTATCCTCATAATTATTCAGGTTTTATTTAACCTGGGTTTTATTTGTTTTGTTAATCCATCACTCAAATCCTGTGCAAATTACAATTTATTTAAAACCTTTGATGTTTGCCAATTCACATAACCCAAGCTTCCTCTCCTTGTAGAAAGCTGGCTTGAAAAATATTTGTCCCCCTTCAATCCTGTCATAGCCTTTCTGCACCCTGCTTTCCTCCAGTTATGTATGGCCTGTATGCACCTTCTTCAAACAGGCCTATCATAATTATTTTTTTAAACTGACTTTGGTACCCATATTCAGGAACTTCCTAACCCATCCTCTATCACTTCTAATACTTGAGATAACAAGGTGTAGAGCTGGATGAACACAGCACGCCAAGCAGCATCAGAGGATCAGGAAAGCTTACGTTTTGGGCCTAGACCCTTTCTCTCAATCACTTTATACTTATTTCTTTTCGGGAGATGTGGATGTCATTGGCAAGGCCATCCTTGATTGGCTTGAACTGAGTGGCTGGCCAGGATATTTCAGAGAGTAGCTGAGAGTCAACAATATTGCTGATGATCTGGAGTCACAAAAAGGCCAGACCAAGTAACTAAAGGACATTAGGTGAACCAAATAGGTTTTGGGACAGTCAGCAATAGTTGTCATGCTCTCCATGATTGAAACTGGCTTTATTTTCCAGACTTCATTAGCTAAATTCCCACACCTATCATGGTGAAAACCTATGTCCCTAAAGCATTAGCTAATGCCGCTGGATTACGAGCCTGGCAACATTACCAAGGTACTTCTATCTCTCCCTTGTCAACTCTCCTGCTTGTCTTGACACTTCCCTTCCTGATTTCAAAAGCTTAAGCTTTTTTTTAATGTTTTATTACATCATCTCCTCTTGCTTACTGTTCTATTAAATGATAGAGATAGTAGGTTATTGTTTATTGTGAGGGAAATTGAATTCAAAATGGAGAGATTATGCTTCAGTTATACAGATTGATGAGGGCACATCTGGAGTACTGTGCACAGTATTGGTCTGTTGGCAGTCCTACTTAAAGGAGTATGTAAATATGTCGAAAGCAGTTTAGAGAAGGTTTACTGAAGTAATACCTAGAGTGGGCGGGTAATCTTAAAGGTTACCTTAGAGGAAAAGTTGGATAGGCTAGACTTGTATCTGCAGATTAAGAGGCAACTTGATCCATCCATGCAAATTTGGAGGCGTCTCGAAAGGGTGCATTTTGAAAGGATGTTCCCTCTTGTAGGAGAATTTGGAGCTGGGGTCAAATTTCATAAGTAAGGGATCACCTATTTAAAATAGATATCATCAATTTTATCTGAGGGTTTAGAGTCTTTGGCATTTTTTTTAAAAAAAGAAGTGGAAGCAGAATTTTTTTAAGCAGAGAAAGATCCTTGATAAAGGGTGAAAGGTTATTGGACAATATGAAGGTCCAAAGATGTGCAGGTTATGTGGATTGGGCATGTTAAACGTGACTATATTCTGTAACTATAATTGAAACAAGTTGCTACCTCTGTTTTTCTTGTACTTGTTTTTTTCTCCCCAGGATATTGGAAGAGGTCTTTTCTTGTTTTTGAGTGGTACTGTGGGATTTTTAACATTCATTTCAGTCACTCGTGTAGTACTTTAATGTCATGTACAGACTTTAATGTCATCTGAAGGCTATAGTTTCAAAAATTTCAGCATTGCCCCAATACAGCACTTCAATGTCATCCTAAGTTATGCTGCAGTCCCAGGGAAGGTAAGTTCTTTGATTCATAATGCAATGTTTGTACTAGGGTTTTTTTTTTTGGTTGGGTTTTAATCCAACATTTTCCTCTAAGATTTGGTTCTTCAATATATTCTTTTGGGAAGACCTTATTTTTACTGCACAACACCATCAGAAAGCACGGCAGTGGCAAAAAGGAGCATGATTATCAAATGTAACCATGTTTACGTGATCTAATATTTCTAACAGATAAACCCAGTGCTTCAGTGGGGTGCAGACAGGCAGCAACAGAGCAACTGTCTTACTTTTGAATCTGCTAGGGGTTTCTTTCTATTGGCTTCAAATCCTGCCATCCCCGCTACCTGTAGTCCTTATTTTGTATGTACGTTGTACCAGTTTTACGTAGCATTGTAGCCGATGCCCTTGCAATTACAATATTGTCAATATTAGAGCAGAATAATGATTAAAATCATTTTTTCTGCTGGGGACATTACCACCTTTCTATATGAAGGACATGCTGCTACATCTGGTCAAATTTGCGTGGTAGGAACTTTTACAGCCTTCTGGACTTATCGCTGAGTTCTGCAGTTTCATATATAAACCCTAATGTCAGTTTGCTTTTTTCTTTGCTTATGGTGTTTTTCCACTGTCAGTTTGTGGTATACTTGCTCTTGGCATATCTTTTTTGTTTGTTTGATTCTTGTTTTGTCCCATCTATATTCCATTTAGCCCAGGGAGAATGAACTGTCCTGTCACGTGGCCACTCCTGCCTTTAAACCTGTCGCAGACTTTCCTTTTCTCCTTTCCTCATCTCTCCCTGGTTCAGAATCTATTTTATGTCCAAATTATCACAATTCTGATGAAATGTCACAGACTTGAAGCATTAACTCTTGATTCCTTTTGTACCCAGATGCTGCCCAACTTTGAGTTTTTTTTACTGGCTCTTTATCTCGGATATCCAGCATCTGCAGTATTCTGCTTTTCTATATGGGATATGCATTGGTTTGTGTGAACATTGATCTATGTGTCTTTTACACAGTCATGATGTGTTTCATTTGGGTTCACTGTACTATAACCCTGAAGGAAATGAGTCTGGACACTGCAGATTACTGCTGTGTTCCCCATGGTAATACCCTGGCTAGTCAGTCTGGCTGCATGGTCTGTGTTTATTCAGCTGATTAAGATCGACAATTAACAGTTCCTGCAGCACTCTGTCAACCATGGTCCATTCCGTCAGTAGCTTCTTCCTGTGCTGTACAAAATGATGCTTATTTTCTAAGTTGGTTTCTTGAGCCCTAGTCCTGATAAATGCAAGATAGAAAGCTCTGATATCTTGTTCCTATTTAGCAATGTTACAGTTCTCTATTTCCTCCAAGGAATTGACATTACACCAGATCTTCTTGCAGTTTGCACCATAGCACAAGGAGATAAATATGCTGCCTTCGTTTGTTTAATAATTGCTGAGGCTATTGTGGATTTTACTTTTTTTCTGCCCTTCAGATCCCATGCAAAAGAACTCTTGTCTGTGGCATCAGCCCCTGGGGGTCCTGTGATGCATATCAGTGCCACACTGTTGCAATCCATTAAGAGCTTCTTAAGGGAGCCAAGTAAAATCATACAGTCTAATCAGTTTGTATAATGGCCGACGTCCCTTTTGCTGACCGTAATTTTTGCAGGACTGCTTCTGACTACAGTCTCCATGGCTGCTCTGAAGGTTCCTGTGACTTTACTTTTCCACCTATAATGCTCAAGTTTTCATTGTGCTCTGATCTCCTATTCTTGGATAGATATTGACTTTGATGGCAGGTGAAAGTACAGAGATCCTCTTCCCTTTGTGCTGCTGTTACCTCTTCTGACTTGGGCACCCTTTGCCATCTGATACCTCTGCTGATAGTGTGTAACCACACTATCATTTGGTTTAGGATGTGGGTGTCCCTGGTCAGGCCGCTTATTGTCCATCCCTGACGGCTCTGGAGAAGGTGGTGGTGAGTTGCTGTCTTGAATTTCTGCAGTGCTTGGAGTATAAGGATACTCACCAGACTGTTAGGAAGGGACTTGCAGAATTTTGACCAACCCACTAACAGTGAAGGAATGGATATATTATTCCAAATCAGGATGGTGTGCGAGTTCAGAGGCATAGTGCAGTTCCATTATATCTACTATGTTGTCTTTCTCGTGATAGAGGTTTCGAAAGAGTTTTTGGTGAGCTGCTGCCTGAGTGGATGGTGTACACTGCAGTCACGTTGCATTGATGATGAAAGGAGTGAATGTTGAAGATGGTTCAAGGGGGTGCCAATGAAATGAGGCGCTTTGTCCTGAATGTTGTTGAGTCTCAAGTGTTGTTAGGTGAACCTATCCAGACGAGTGGAGAGCATTCCATCGTGCACTTGTGCCTTGTAAATGGTGGGCAGGCATTGGAGAGCTGAGAAAATGAGTTACACACTGCAGAATTCCTAGCCTCTTCCTATAGTTTAATGTGGAAATGTTATGCAACTAACTGACAGATCAAAAATTAAAGTCCATTCAGCCAGATAGAATGCAGATAGAGGGCCCTCGTTTCATGGCTTTCAGAAGGAGGAGTTGGAGAGGTCACACTCTTCGGCTGTGAGGTGTATTTTTACCATTTTCAGGAGGAGTACCTCGATACTAACAGTGGGTGGTAAAATTGAAGGTGCTTCCCCATTGATGCTGTCAGCAGTCAAATTGGAATCACTTCCAAAAAACTGAAGATATAAAATAAAATTTGTGTAGAAGAGGGGCGTTGAATAGGATGGTCTTGATGCCTCTGGTATTTTACCAGTTGTGTGGTAGCTACCAGGTGGCTCGCTTATCCTTGGGCATCCGAGAAGAGTTATTGGCCACTGAAGAGCAGCAGAGGACTGCAGCCCCAACAGTCATAATTTCTAACCCCCACCCACCCAACATGTGTGCCCCATAAATATGGTTTCCAAACCCCTCAATGGGGCTCGGCAAAGCTGCCGTGATTCAGCTTTGAATCCAATGCCTATGTTGCTGCTTGTAGTGGGCTGTTCTGTGACAACCACCGCTCACCATCTGATTGGCCAGATGTTCTTAGAGGCAGTGCCAATCTTTGAAAGCACATGTCTTTCCATTAATAGGTTTGTAATTAAAATAAATGTTTCACTTCTTGGTCGTAAAGTTTTATCATCTGAAATTTAGTCACTGAACAAACAGTCAAACACCAAGATTTTTGTATGATTAGTTAATTGTAAATCCGCACAAAAGATTATCCTGTTCACAGTTGTGACAGCAAAGCACAGTAACCATCTTTTAAAAACAGTTTTAATTGACTAGACTATTTGTCAGTATGGCCAAGGTTATCCTCAGTGTTAAGTTCTTTTTTATGTTGGCTCTGCTGGATACATGTTAACCTGATTTAAATTCATGCTGTGAATAGTTCTGAACCAGCATGCACATGCTGACACAAATTAAACACACATTTTAACTATATCAAATGAATTCTTTTGTCAAAAGTTGGTGGATTTCTTTGTTGAATTTCACTGTCATATTAAGTGGGTTGGAAGTTAACCCAGAAAGGTTGAATATTTTTGCTTCTCCCCCAGGAACCTTTAGGTTCCTTGGCGATCTCATAAGTGCAGTTTAATCTAGAGAATTGATGATATGCATTGCTACATCTTAAGAACAGATTGTCTCCTTAAATACTACACTTAAATAGACTTCACAGATTTCTGTACAACATTTGCATGGCCTAATTGCATTGACACAATCCTAATGATTGGCAACATAGTTGGCAAAGTTGTGACAAAAGTGGAAAGCTACAAGTACTCCTTATTTGTAAGGGTGCTATAGTGTACACCAGCTTATAACAGTGTTATGAAACCTTTTCAACTCCTTCAATGTTTTGAAAGTGCCTGTGTTTTGATGTAAGATCAGAAAATAACTTTTAAAAATATTTTTCAACAATTTTACTGTCTCATAATCAAAAGACTTGCTGACAAGGATTTGGGATTACTTCCTAGCTGTTATAAAAATCTGTATATTTGCAATTGCAGATTCTTCTGTATCCATTTGAGCATATTTTGATATCTTTTGATTATGTAAGACATGAACTGCATGTGATCGAGTATTCCAAATCCTGCATTCAATATTCTTTACCCTTAAATCTGTTCCTCTTTAAAACAAGAATGCACAGTGGGCATTAAACAGTTGTATTATATTGCAGTCTGTCCATCTTGCACTTTCATTTAAGTGTCAATGCTTCTGCCACCAAATAAGTGACTTGAGTATTGAGAGTAGACAGGTTGATTTTGAATTGTCTGTACTTGCCAGCAAATAAATTATTTTCTGTTTGTGATACTTAACTTCATCTGAAAGCTGTTGGTTGCCCTGTACACAACTTGAGGAAAAGGACAGGTGCTATGGTTTTGTGTTTAAAAATAAAAACCCTTTTGGTTTTTGTTAATTTTGTGATGTCCAAGGTCAGTTAGTAAAAATACACTTAACTCAGCTATGTTCACCAACAGAATTTTTTTTCAAAGTATTTTGGTAAATCCTGGGAAACAAAGGAATTGAACTTCTGTCTTCCCTTTCTTAAAGGAGCTGTCATACTCCTGGGAAGAACCAACATGTTCAGGTTTAATCATCCTAAGGAAGCTGCTAAACTCAGGGAAAAAAGGAAGGTATGTTGTGTGGTTTGGATCTTAAATTTTTACATAGATTCAAAAAATAAATGTTTCATAAGGTAATAACAAAACCATTTTAACAATTTTTTTGAACTTTAGGTCGTCTGAGTCACTATATTGATTTACTGTCTAAATCTTACCCTTTTGGTTAGTTGATACAAATTTAAATTTAAGCCATATTTAAGTTTTCTCGATTGAGATCTTAACTAAATCATCAGGAAGTGTAAAGGAAAGCAAATATTTTGGCTGGGAATGATTGCTGCTTTAGCAAGCATGCTCAGGACAGGACTAAGGGGTTAGAATTCAGTAAGATGTCTATTGTATGCAATGAGGATATATTTCATTTAAAGGACACTTAGATAACAGCATGAATAAGAAATGTTCGGAGGGATATGGACCAGGAGCAGGCAGATGGGATTAGTTCAGTTTGGGATTGTGTTCGGTATGGACTGGTTGGACTGAAGGGTCTGTTTCTGTGCTTTATGACTCTGACTCTATAAACTTTAGTTGAGAGAATGTCAGACTACCAAAATAGCTAGGATAACTGGTTTTAAAATTTATTCCTTCATGGGGTGTGGGTGTCAGTCACAAGATCAGTGCTTTTTTTTCCCCATCCCTGATTGTCCTAGAGCTTGGTGACTTGCTGGACTATTTCAGAGGGCACCTGAGTCAACAACGTTACTGTGGTTCTGGAAACACATTATAGGTCAGACTGGGTGAAGATGGCTGGTTTCCTTCCCTGAGGGAATGATTGTGACCAGGGCTCAAACAACACTTGGGTGATGGACCAATTCTCCCTTTTGAAGCCACCAGGAAGATTGAATCATTTGGGCAATCAGTTGGAGAAAAGTCTCCCTCATATGTAGAATGGGCAGACTTGTTGAAGCAGTGATCATCCAATCACTGGCTAGTTTCCTCCTGAGGTTGCTGCTCATCGGCTCACTAGCGAGGCTATCGTTAGCAAACTTGCGAGAGGAATAGCCTGCAATAGAAGGAGCACCAAACATTGAGAAAAGTAAGTGGCGGCAGTGAAAAGAAGAGGTTGTGGGGGCGGGGGGCTGCAGTTAGTCGTTTGTTAGGGAACGGAGTTTTGTTCGGCGAGGGGATGGGCTATGAGGGTTGAGGCAAGGATGAGGTTGGGGAGGGTGTTATTGAAGGAAACTATAAAGGGAGGTTGAGAGATGTAGGCAGCTGTAGGAGAAATGGGAGAGCACGGGCTTATAAGTAGGATGAGGGAGAGAGGCTGCTACTGGAAAGGATGGCTGCTGGAAGTTTGGAGCGAGATCCATTTTAAAACCTGTCAACAAAGGAATACTCCACTAACACAAAAAGTTGAACTTTGCTAAGGCAATTCATTTCTTAAATGAATGTGGAATCTCTAGGTAATGCTGCCTAAGTTCAGGAACAGCTACATGGGAACAAAGTGGTGGATGCTATTCTAATGAGCATGTGTATATTATTGTTAAACTTATGTATGAGATTTAGATCTGAGATGCAGAAGGGTCCTGCCTGATTAAAATGCACCTGCTTTGTATATATGTGGTTAAAAACACATTAGCTATTTATGTAGAATGTGTGTTTAGTGTGTTGGCTTTTTGTGTGTAGAAGTGGATATCACATATTTTGAAACAAACTTAGGTTGAGAGATGGTAAGAACTGCACTTGCTGGAACCAGGGATAACAGTGTGGAGCTGGAGAAACACAGCAAGCCAGGCAGCATCAGAGGAGCAGGAAAGTTGATGTTTCGGGTTGGGACCCTTCTTCAGAAAATTAACTTATGCTGTGGTCTTGTGCCAATTGAAATACTGGGTTTCCAGGAAATCTGTGCTTTCCTCGTGTGCTGTGATTTTAATTTTAATAGCCATGATTGAGATGTGAGGGGCTTAGACAGTGTAGACAGGCTTTTTCCCTTTAGTGGAGGGATTAATGATCAGGGGCACATATTTAAGAAAGGAACAGGAGGTTTAGAGGGAATGTGAGGGCAAAAAAACTTTACTCAGTGTGATGGGAATGTGGAACTGACTGTCTATAAGAGTGGTAGAGACTGAAGCCCTCTTAACATTAATGAAGTAAGTACATTTGTGATACCAAGGTATACAAAACAATGGACCAATAGTTAGGTAGTTGTTTCTAAATGGCGCAGACTTGATGGACTGAAAGGTCTTTTTTGGGTCATATAGACCTCTGTGACTGTACTCAAGTCCTGTTGATTTTTATTGGCAATGTTGATATTGAGTTAAAGATCACCAACTTTATCTGTCTGTGCCATTGCAGTTTTATCTGTTTTGCATTTTTACAGAGTGGACTGCTGTCTACCTTCAGTTTGTCTATGACGGACCTTTCTAAATCCTGTGAAAATCTTTCAGCCGTCATGCTTTACAATCCAGGGTAAGATGAAGAGGAAAATATGCTCTGTTAATACAAGAGCAGTTTTCATTTTGTTACTAATGAGTAGCATTAGATTTTGCTGTCTTCTGTTTTGTCCACAATTCCAAATATCAGTATAGTGAGATCTTGCAGATTTCTGTCCCCCATAATTATTTGCAATGACAATGTGCACTGTTATTGTTTTGTAATAAAGACTACCCAAGACCCTTTGCAGGAGTTGCAGTACATGAAACTGAGCCACGTAAGGAGCTATTAGGTTGGATGACCAAATGAAAGGTAGATTTTAAGGAGCATTCTAAAGGAGGAGTGAGCAAGAAGTAAAGCCAGAGGCAAATTCCAGAGCTTGGTGTGTTGGTATCTGAGAACACTGCCACGATGGTGGAGGGGCAGTGATGCTCAAGAGTCCACAGTTAGAGAATTGCAGATATCATGCAACGTTGGGGAGCTGGAGGACAGTACAGAACAGAGATGCACAAGGTCATGGAGGAATTTGAACAAAAGTGAGAATTTTAAAATTTAGGAGTTGCTATTCTAAGAACCAAAGTGCTTCATCATAATGAGGGGTCATGAGTGTTTCTTAGTACAAATTTGGGAGATAAACAACAGTTTCTGAAGTGTTCAACTTGATTGAGCTTGCTAGGTGGGAGACCAATTGGGAAAGCATTTGAAAATACCTGGAAGTTTCAATTCCAGATAAGAGGTTGGAGTGGAGTTGTGCAATATGACAGAGGAAAAGGTTTTCGTGATGGAGAACAAATGGAGTTAGGAGCCCAGGTGAGTGTCAGAGAGAACCACAAAATGTCCAGTTCAACCTCCGATCGTAGTCAAGGCGCAGGTAGCTAGATCATCTGTCAAAGAATTGAGTGTGTAACAAGGATAGAAGGCAAAACCCAGAATTTATTGGAGAGGGACAAATGGGATAAAAGAGATCTGGATAGCATCAAATTTCATATCCTTACTTGACGGAAAAGAAACTGTGGTTATAGAAACAGGCCAGAGATTGAGACCTGTACTTTCATAATATAAGAGTATTCTGTGTTAAAGTCTCAGTTCCTGTGATTGATGTACTACAATAATGGACCAGTGTTGACCCACGAAATCCAATATGCAAACCTCAATGTGCTGTTGCTCATAAAACGTCCTTACCTTTTATAAACCACAATTTTTTCCCCATCTTAAAGGTCAGGTTAATATTAATTAAAGTCTTACTTCATTATATATTCTTGTTACTTTGGCAGAAAGAGTCCTTTACATTAAGTTGGATACCAGATATGAGTTATTTTATAAATGGAATCTGATAAATTTGATCTCTTCTTAATTAATCTCTTTTGCTTTCACTGCACTTCCCATGGCAGTCTTTTCACAATAAAGGGACCCATTTGCCTAAGGTAGTGATATTCCATTTGTATTTATTGATTGTGATGTCTGCATGAAATTAGTTTACTAAAAATACACGGGGCATGTTCTGCAGATTTCTTTCCTTTATGCTGTCAAATGCACTAATTTGGATATCAAATATAGTTCACACCTGGAATTATCGAAACAACATTGGAACACTACTTAAAATATTACTAGAAGACTGTATTATAAGGAACAACTTGCATTTCTCCTCCTGCAAAAAGTTCTCAAGGTGCTTTTCAAGAATAGCTCAGACAGAAGTTGGTGAGGAAACAAAGTAATGGAGAAGCGGAAAAAAATAAAATAATCTAAGCGCTAGCTTTTTAAGGCAAGAGGTAGGTAAGTGACATTGATTTGGAAAAGTGTTTTGAACAGCATGGATGCAAAGACTGAACAATCAACCTCCGATGGGTGTGGTGAACAGGGAAATCTGCAGACGTGAGTTGGAGCAAAGGGCCATAGGGGCTTTCTTGTGTAACTGGATAAAATTTTCCCAATAGAGTGGGATGAGGCCATGAGGTATTTGTGAATGAGAGCAAGAATTTTGAAGCCGGTTATCTCAGAACTGTTGAAGGTCAGTGCCAGTTGTGATCTGCTGGATCTAAAACGGTCCTTTGTGCTGGAGGCGGCCTGGGTGAAAAACTTTAGATTCCAGAGCACAAAGCCACTAATTTGAGAATTTGGGTGAGAGGAAGCAAAAAAGCTTATTGAAGTAACGAAGGGAAAATGTAAGCTTTGAGCATTGAAGGAATTTTGGATTTGGGAATAAATGACAGTGTCCCGTAGGTTGGAAAAAGCAGTCTTGGTGGATTGGATTTGAAATAGGAAATACAGGTCATGATCAAAGAGAGCACCTGCAGGCTTAGGAATGGAACTGGGTGTGAACTGAACCAGATCGATTCTATTTTCCAAACAGAGTTAAAACTTTCTACAATTCTGCGCAGATCAATGTCATGTAAAACAATTATTCCAGACTTGGTAATGGTGATGGGAAAATAAAGTGTAGGTGTGGGTATGCAGGTGGAAACTGAGCCCCTTCTGGCAGATAACTCCAATGGGCTGTGTATTTTCTGTTGGGTAAGATGATCAGTAGGTATTATAGACAATGTCTATCTGCCAAAAGGTAAACCTTATTTTGTGCATCCTTTTTTTTGGCACCATCTGAATGAAATATTCTTTTATTTGCAGTATGTTGATATGTGAGTACCTCTGTTAATCTTTCTGAACTTTTACTAGGCTAGAATTTGAGAGACAACAGAGAGAAGAGCTGGAAAAGCTAGAAAACAAGAGGTAAGAACCAGCATCTTAGAATTGCTACAGCACAGAAGGGAGAGCCTACAGCCTGTTGTGATAAACTGCCCTCTATGGTCTCCCATGTGCTGGCACATTCTTATCACATTCTGATGTCTTAGCAATATAACTATTTCAAAATGTACATCATTAATTGGTTGTCATTTCTTTCAAAATCTAAATCATATTAACTGAAATGTTAATGTATTCTTCACTTCAGCTCAAGTTTCCCTCAAGACATGTCAAAACATTGAGCTACTTCATGAAAGACTGAAGTTGTTGATAAGCTACTACAGACAGTAAAAGGGTGAAACAAATTTGTTTTCAGGATATGGGTGATGCTCACACAACTGCATTTGTTGCCTCTTCCTAATTGCCCTGCAAAAATGATGGACCACTTTTGTAATTGTGTGTGGTTTACAAAAGCACATGAGAAGGATGCACCATCTGCTAAGTAAAGGATGGTGGGTAATTTAAAGACCATAAAATAGAGGAGCAGAATTAGGCCATTTGGCCCATCAATTCTGTTCTTCAATCATGGCTGATACGTTTCTCAGCCCATTCTCCTGCCTTCTCCCCATGCCGCTCGATCCTCTTACTAACCAAAAACCTATCTATCTCCATCTTAAATACACTCAATGATTTGGCTTCCACAGCCCTCTGCGGCAACGAGTTCCATTGATTCATCACAGTCTGACTGAAAGAAATTCCTCCTCGTCTCAGTTCTAAGTATATTGTAAGCTTCGATGAACCGCCTGGATGTGGAGAAGATGTTTCCAGTAGTAGGAGAGACTAAGACCTGAATGCACAGCCTGAGTAAAGAGACAACCGGTTAGAAAAGAAAAGATTTGCAAGACATGTAGATTGTGTGGTAGACCAGAAGATTGAAAATTTTAGAAACCAGGAAAGGGGGAAAAGATAGGAAGAGATTTGAGAATGAAAGAAAACAATAAAAATCATGAAACCAGACAGTAAAAGCTCCCACAAGTATGTGGAAAAGAGTAGGTAAAGTGTGTGTTGGCCCTTTAGAGGGTGAGACTCATGAAAAAATAATGGAAAATAAAGAAATGGCAGGTCCTTTAAACAAGTATTTTGTGACTGTCTTCATAGTTAAAAACAAAAAACATCCCAAGAAGATTGGAAAAAGAAATCATTTGTTATCACTAAAGAAAAAGTAACAGGCATGTTATTGAGATTTGAGGCTGATAAGTCTTCTGGACCTGATGACCTGCATTTTCGGATTTTAAAAGCGGTGGATGCAGAGATATTGGACATATTGATTGTAATCAACGTTCCCTGGAATTATTTTCTCTTGCTGATGCGTGGTCCTCTGAGATCTGTGCAATGCATTCCAGAAATGGAAGCTATTCATCAGCATGCTGATCAGTACAGCATGCAGCTTGGAGGAAACATGGTTTGTAATAATCCAAAATTCTCCTAGATTCTGGAAAAGCCCCAAAGGATTGGGAAACTACAAATACAGTACCACTGTTCAAGAAAGGACTGGGGTTGGGTGTCATAAAGCAGGAAACTATAAGCCAGTTAGCCTAATATCTGCCATAGGGATAATGCTAGAATCCACTATTACAGGACATTTAGAAAATTGTATTACAGTGAATTAACGTGAACATTATTTTTGGTCAAGTGATTTCCCTTAGACAACTATGTAACTGGAAATCCTAGTAAACTATGGATCAGTGGGCTATGTTAGGTTGCTGATGCAAAGAATGACATGAACACTGCTGAATGACCACCCCCTTTGCTGTAGCCATTCAGTGATTGTTTAGTTTTTCCTGCGTGGAAGCATCACTACTGGCCGGTGGCCACACACCATCCTAATTTGGAATTATATCCCTGTTGTTTCATTGGAACTACATTAAAATCCTAACTCTCCCCTGAACAGTACTGTGTGGGTCTACCTACACAATATACAGACTACAGGAGTTCAAGAAGGCACTTCCCTACCACCACCTCAAGGGCAGTTAAGGATGGGGAAGCGAATGCTGGCTGACTCCATGAACCTCCGACACACATCTGAAAGAAGCATTTTGATGTCTGAAAAAGGATTTACAGGAATTAAATTAGAAAATCTTGTTTTATATTATGATTAGTTTAAACACCAAGTTACTGAGCCCCTTAATTTTATTGGTTACAGTGTAAAATGTTGAATTTAGTAAAATTTCACTGTTTTAAAAACGTTTTTGTTTCAATGTACTTATTTTAGGAGACTGATAGAAGAAATGGAAGAGAAACAACAATCAGAAAAGTCAGAACTAGAGAGGTTGCAGCAGGAAGTGGAGACACAACGCAAAGAGACTGAAATTGTCAAACTTCGCATCCGGAAACAAGAAGAAAATCTGAAACGTCGAAACCTGGATATTGAAAGCAGACTTAAAGACTTAAAGGCTGAGAAGGAGAAATTTGAGGAAGAGCGGCAAAGAGAACAAGAAGAAATTGAGCTGCAAAAGAAAAAGCAGGAAGAAGAAATTTACCTAAGAGTTCAAAAAGAATTACAGATATTGCAGGAACTTCACGAGCAGGAGAATGCAGGTAAACTGGAAATTCTCAGAGAACTAGAGAAGCTCAAAAGAGAAAAGGATGAGCATAGCCAGAAGCTAGAATTAGAGAAGAGAAGACTTGAAGAAGAATCAAAGCATCAGCTGATTCTTGTCACTCGTCTCGGAGAGCAGGTCAGAGAGAAACAGGAAACTGTCCAAATGCTCAAACGAGGTGATGTGCAGAGCATGGATGAAGAAAAGAATATCCTCGAGGAAATTAGGGAAGTTCTCCTCAAAGCCAAAGAAGCTAGACCTGCTGGAGGTGACGAACCTAGATCTGCTGTTGAAGATGATGCTAGACCTGATGAAAGTGAGGAATCTGAAGATGTCCAGAGAGCAAAGGAAAGATACATGGATCTGAAAAAAATACAATTGGAAAAGTTCACAGCTTTGGAACACAGTGTCTCCTATCAAAAAAGCCTTCTGGAAAAGGAAATCACTCTTGACCGTGAAGCTGTTGAGCAGTTAAAGCGTGCACATCAGAAACCCGTAAATGGCAGTCTGGACAGTGGTGGAAGTCATGCTTTAGTTTCAATTGAGTTGCTCGAAGCAGCGGAGAAACAGAAAGAGGTTGAACAACGAATGGTGAATAAAGCACGGCAGCTAGATTATTTGATGGAAAACCATTTGCCTGCACTGTTGGAGGAAAAGCAGAGAGCTGTGGAAATTCTCGACCGAGGTATGCCTAGTTTGGATGTTGTACTTTATGAGACAGAGAAAGAAATTGAAGAAAAAAAGGAGCAGCTAGCACAGTACAGAGCCAGCACTGATCAACTTCAGCAGCTCCAACAAACGTACGAATTTACTGCTAATATAGCTCGACAAGAGGAAAAGGTTCGTATGATTGAGAAAGAGATTATTGAATCAAGAGAAAAGCAACAGAGAGAAGCATTGGAGCAAGCTGTAGCTAAAATAGAGAAGAGACACTCTGCTCTTCAGCGTCATTCTGCCATTGACTTGGAGATTGAGGAACAGAGACAAAAACTAGCAACGCTAAATGACTATGAAGAAGCAGATCTTCGAGACAGTCTGGAGGCAGAACATAAAGCCCTGGAACAAGACCGAGAAAGGTGATAGAGCTTTGAAAAAAAAAAAAGCATAAACTCTGAAAATCTGTAGTAGTAAGAATGTGTAATGTGAAGTCCCTGATCTGTGCATAGTTTTGCTGATCTTAGCTGGAATAGCAGCACCAGTGTTACTTTTGGTATTCCTGCCACAGGCTGGAAATCAGCCAGGGTTTCTGCTTATTGCTGGGTGACTCTTGCTGGAAAGTGTATGTGTGTGGGTATTGGGTGAAGTCGAGTTGAGATTCTGATGGGTCTTTTGTGCCTGTGATCTTATAACTTTGAGAGGCCCCCACCTATGTGGGGGAATACAAAGTGAAGCTATAGATAGATAGTAATAATGTGCAGACCCAAATATATCCAATGACAAATCTCTGGGCAGTAGGGAAAAATCCATCACAAGACTCCAAATACTCTTTATAATTCAATCCAGATTTTCAAAAGCTTCAAGTTTTCTTTCTGTTCTGATAACTATTGTCATATGTCAATGGGCTTTGTTCATTAAAATGTTGCATCCCTCCAATCGATTTAAAGATTTAACGTGATGGAGTTTCATCTTTGTTATCGACAGAGAAACGCCATCAGCAAATTCTTTTGTTGATACATCCTAAAGATATAGAGTAGGAGGCCTTTAACATTTTGAAGTTCTTCCCAAGTCAGGAATGCGCGTCAGGATTCAGGCATGCATCCTGATTTGTGAATTCATAAAGTTTTGACCTTTTGAAATAAATCTATCAGCTTTCCAATTTTGAGTAATAACCACAGCACTAAGTAATCTAGAACAAATGTCTAACAATACCCAAAGAATAAAACAATGTACCCAAATCCACTTGGCTCACAAATGTCCTTTCAGGGAAGGAAACTGCCATTATTACCTGGTCTAGCCTATATCTGAGCCCAGACCCACAACAATGTGGCAATACATGCTGGCCTAACCAGAAATACTGACATCCCGTTTCTTAAAAAAAAAATTACCTTCATTTCAGAAAAGCAGTCCTATCAATCTGCCATTTGCCATACTGAAATGGCTGTACTTGAAATGCATAGAAAACTCCCCTCAATCGAAAGTGCTTTAGTAACATAAAAATGGAAGCTTGTGGATCTAAACTTGGGACAATTAACTTTAATTTTTCTTACTATGTGTAATCAGTAATGTTTCTTCCTTTGTTCTGAACGTAGTCTGGAGACTAAATTCTTATTGGTGAAAGTGTTGTGTATCCCTTACAATCCAAAAGCACTTTTGTTTTAAAATGGCAAATATCTGGTTTGGTTATAACAGGATATATGGATCTAAAAGAACCCTTGGTCCTACAAGGCACCACATGTGTTATCCTTTGTGAAAACTGAAAAGCAGTTTGCCAAGATAAAGCCCAACTGTGAGCCAACAAATTAGTTTTTATTTTACATGTATTACATGAATGAAAATTAGTTTCTTATAGTAGGTTATAGACAAAAGGAGATGTATCACATTGTCTGTGCAAAGGCTCAATTTTAACACAGTTAGAATACAGTGTCATGGTTTAGAACTTATCCTCATTGCCTGTTAGGGTCCTCTTGCTCACTTTTTCTCGTAAGAGGGTGAATGCCAAATTTGTAAGTTTGCAACTTCAAAGGTTCTGTCCTCTGAGCAGTCCTACAAAGTAATTAGCCAGATCAAATTGTTTTTTGTTTCATGTGAAAACATGTTGTTTCCCAATGTTTTTCTTGACCAAAGTCTCCTCCAAAATTGCATGGAATAAAGTGTTAACCCTCTACTTGGGTGTGAAAAAGGAACCATTTAATAATTATGTTGTGAAATGCTTAGGATTGAACAATTTCCCTTCTTTGTTTTAAAAGCAGAAATTGCTGGAGGAACTCAGCAGGTCTGGCGTTATCTGTGAAGAGAAAGTAGAGTTAACATTTCAAATCCGTTGATCCCTCCGAGCTGATAGCTAGGAAAAGGTAGTATGTGTAGGTAAAAATGGGTTGTTTGCTGAAAGCAGCCCCTGTCATGAAAAGAGGTGGGTAAAGGACTTGTAAGGAGGTGTTCAGGCTCTAAAATTACTGAAGTTGATATAGAGCCCTGATGGCGCAATTTCAGATTATAAGGTCACCCTTTTAAAACTGACATGGAGGAATTTCTTTTGAGAGTAGTGAATCTTTGGTATTCTTTATTGCAGAGGGCTGTATCAGCTGGGTCATTTAAGTGTGTTCAAGGCTGATGTAGACAGATTTTTAATCAGTAAGGGAATTGAGGATCGTGGAGAAAAGACAAGGAAAGTGGAGTGGAAAATTATCAAATCAGCCATTATCATTGAATGGCATAGCAGGCTTGTTGGGCTGAATGGTCTACTTCTGCTCTTACATCTTATTGTTTTTAAAGCCGGTCAGGATCAAATCATTACACACATCAGTCATCTTTTGTTTTTCAGGTAAAATTGTTAATCTGAGGGCAGCTAGAAAATCTGGATTGAGATCGGATAAACTCCCTTTCGGCCAGATCTTGTCAGGCTTGCAAAACTGCTATGCCTTTGTCTCACTCGTTTTGAGTCCATATGCCAAAATGAAGGAGGCACTATCCAATGCCCCAGCTACACCTAGAGTTTTCTAACTGAAAATATTTCCATTAGTTTGAGGAGTTTTTTTTTCATTATTGTATGTGTTATTACCCTGTCTATATGTGCTTTTTGTTCTGTTAAACCGGAGTTTAATGTGGCTCAAAGCTGCATTGCTTCACACAGTCCTATGTGTATTTTTCATGTGTAATTTCTGCTGTAGGCTAGAACAAGAAATTCAGCAACTCAAGCGAAAAATTTGTGAAAATGATGTGGCCCTAAGGTTCTGTGGAGCTGGTGAAGAGAAATCATCCTACACCAGTTGCCCTGCTAGTCCTCAAAGATCTCCAGCAACAATGTCTCCAATTGCTGATGAGAGGTTTGTTTCCTGATGTCCATTTTAAAATGTGTTTTTACTTCGGGTACTGAATCAGATGGAATGACTATTTATAGCTCATTATACTGTTTCCCTCTGTTTCATTAAAGTGGATCAGAAAACACTAGTACAGCTTGGAAAATTAGTTCTCAAGCTTTCTTAGATACTTGAATTCAGTGAGCTGTACAGTAATCTTGCATATCTTATACTTTAACGTAGTTGTAGCCACAATCACTGTGTGGCTTATATCAATATGATTATTGTGTATCAGTATTGTTTGGTTAGTTGTAAAATACAAAATATTTCAATGATACTTTAATACCCATTTGCTTCCTTTTACCAGTTAAAACAATTGTTTAGGTATCAATATCAGTTTAATCTTGTCTTGCATCATGAAATCATCATTTTGAAAGTTGGGGGCCATTTGGAAAACAGTGACCATAATATGAACAGGTTCAGTGTAGGACGAGGAACAGAAAAAGCAAAGTCAAGCACAAAGGCAGTTAACTTAAAAGAAGACAGCACAAAACAGGATGCAGAGACACCTTGGCTCGAAGGGAAAGTTGCTGTCTAGAATGGTAATGAGAGGTTGATACTAAGAATTATAGAATCATTTGTAGTAGCTGTAGAACTGTTGAAAGTGCCATTTTAAAAGTCCCACAGCAGTGTACAAAACAGAGCAGGAGATTTCCCAGTGTTCAGATCGAAAAGATTCATACTTGTATTTATGTAGTGCCTTTCATGACCTCAAAACACTTTACAGCCAACAATGTATTTTGATTGGTATGGTCACTGTAATGTCAGAAGCATTTATTCCTCAACATTGCCATAAAAACAGATAACTAGGTATGGTGTTTGTCCACATGAACGACTTCACATGCAAATGCCTTTCTGTTAAAGGTAGAAATGCAAATAAATAAGGCAACAGTTGCTTGAAAATAAGAAAGTAAATGTTACATTCCAAGTAGCAGTGAAGAATAGTAGAACTTTGTGGTTGGTTGGTTCGCCGAGCTGGTTAGTTGTTCCGCAGACGTTTCATTACCCTGCTGGGTAACATCATCAGTGCAGCCTCCGATGAAGCGCTGTTGTGTTTTCCCGCCTGTTATTTAAACTCTGGAGTCCGTTGAGCTGGGTTGCTTCACTTCTGGTTTTCCTTCACAGTGGAGTGTAAATGGGGTCTAGCTCTGTGTTTATTGATGATTTATTCCAATAAACATAGAGCTAGACCCCATATACACTCCATTGTGAAGGAAAACCAGAAGTGAAGCAACACAGCTCAACGGACCCCAGAGTTTAAATAACATGCAGGAAAACACAACGACGCTTCATCGGAGGCTGCACTGATGATGTTACCCAGCAGGGTAATGAAACGTCTGCAGAACAATGAACTGGCTCAGCGAGCCAACCAACCACAACGTCCACAACCTGAGTTACAAATCTACTCTAAAACCTTACAGTAGAACTTTGTCTTAACACGTTTGAGCTTGTTATGTACAGAGGCTGAGATTTCAAAATGTTTGTCTGCTCCTATTAACAAGGAATATAAATGAATCCCCTGTTAATTCATTGTTACTAGATCAAAATCCTGGAATTATCTCCCTAACAGCATTTGTGGTCTACCCTACAGCACGTGGACTGCAGCAGTTCAAGAAAGCAACTCACCACTACCTTTTCAGCGGTAACTGGGAATCAGCAATAAATACTGGCTGAGCCAGTGAGACCCATGTCCCACCAGTGATTTCTTTTTGGTATCCAGAAGTGCTCTTACGTGCAACTGAGGTTTTTATTTCCATCACCAAATCACCTGTGGTATTCCCATGAGTGAATAAGTACCCACCACCTGAATACAATTCAGTACCCAGTTAGTTTACATTAAAGGCTTCTGACAAGTGTGGAATTAGACTTGTAGGCTCATGTGCAAAAGCCTGCCAGTGTAGGGCTGACTGACCATTGTGCTGTAAATCTTTTTGATCCTGTTTTAGAATGGTGCAGGTGTATGTGATTTGAGACCATTACCTCATAGTTCCTGGTTGTCAATCTGTATACTTTAACTTCAAATCTGTTGCAACCGACATTTATTCTAGCCTTTGTTTTTAAATCAGAAAGGAGCCCATTTGTTAGAAAATCTCCTTAAGAGAAGATACTTTATTAACAAGACGTAAAATGTGAAAACATTGGTGATCAAATTTTCAATAAAAATGATAGATGCTTGTTCATTGAATGTAAATTACAGTTTGAAGAGTAATTTAACTCCAATGGTACCATGTGTAATTCCTCAAAAACAATGTTATTCTAATTGTCTTAAAACCTCTCAATGGAGACACTGATGCTCAAGTGATACAGCTTCACCTTGATTTAAGAATGCTTTTGCTTCACATATTACTTGGACTTTCCCTACAGCAGGCAATAAATGGGCTCAGGCCTGCTTCTGTTAGTTTTTCCTGGAGTAAGTCACTTGAGGAGTGCTACTCTGCATCAAACATGATTGATCAGGATACCCTTCCAGTTTCCCACCTACCTTGGGTGATTTTTGGAAGGATTTGCAAGTTAATACACAACCTTTTTGTCTGTGTCATTAGTGCGACCTCTGTAGCCATCAAGTTCTGAATTGGAACTCAAACCTGGAGCTCCTGGTTCAAAGGCAGGGATGCTAACCACTGCATTCCAAGTATCCCATAAATTACATCTCACAATGTTCCTATAACTCTGAGACAGCATACTATTTGACTAGGCCTTAAGCAGTACCTGCACAAAGATATACTACTGCAGGCAAAAGGTGTGTTGATATGAGTTCAAATCCCATTGTTGTAGTTTGCGATTTTCACTTCACATTTTGTAATTTTAAAAGCTTGTTGTTGGTGAGCATGACCGTGAAACTTTATTTTAAAAAAAAATAAACCTTTTCAGCAGTCTGCTTTAATAGAAAAGAAAACCTGCCAACATTATCAGTACAGACTGCTCCACCCTCCAACGAGATTGACTTGTAGCAAACTATTCAGTTGTGTGAAACTGCTACTAAGGATAAAACAACTTGGCTGTGGGCTAGGCATTGAACCAGGATATAGGCACATACTTAGTTATTCTGCCAAAGTTCCTCAACATCTTTGCTTTCGAGGGTATTGTTCTATAAACTGGTTATGCAATATTGATGAGTTGGTGGCTCAGACCATAGGAGCAACATCTCATCTTACACAGATATACCATCTTCTTGGCAAGCAGACACAAAAAGTTCCTTTATTTTTATGCATGGGTTTTCATCTGGAAAGAACTTCTACACTACCACTTGTGAGCAATCTCCATGCTTTTTGGTGCAAAGCCCCCCACAGTTTGTCGGGAGCTTATTTCCCAGAGCTGCACTTACCAAACACTCAATCATTCTATTTTAATGCATTGCCCCCACATAATACTGGTGCACGTTCCACTTAGCTTCCGTGAGTTACGTAAAATTGACAGTATCTCAGGAACTGGCATTTCATTCTTCAGAGCAAAGTAAATACCATTCCTTCCTTCAGCATATCTCATGGCATTGCTTGCTACCTAACCATATTAAATCGGGGCCCCTTTCCTCAACAGCACATGTGTACTCCTTTCTCCATTATACCCCAAGGTACCTTAACATACTATAGTTGATACCTGGGATGGAGTTTTATCTTAATGTGGAATGATTGGACAGGCTGTGCCTGAATAAACGGGAGTCTAGAAGAGTGAGAGGTAATGTTGTCGGGACATAAGATTCTTGGAGGATTTGACAGTATGGTTGTTGAAAGGATCCTTCTCCCCCCTTGTTGGAAGAGGTTAGAGCTGCAGGACATCCCTTTTTAAACAATAAAGGGTGAGGATGTCAGCAATTTAGGACGGGTATGAGGAAGATTTTTTTTTCTGGAAGTTGAGTCTTTGTGGGTCTCTTCTCCAGTGAGCTTGAATGCTTCAAGGCAGAGGCAGATAGATGCTTGTCTCATAGAGGAGTTAAGGATGATGATGGAGAACAATGGAGTTGAGGATCAAAGTACATCAATCATGATCTTTTTGAATGGCATAGCAGGCTTAAGGACTGAATGGCCTCCTGCTGTTCTGAGTTTATGTTCTTCTGTTGAAATTACAAACGCTTCGTACTCACCCTTTTTTTACCTCATCAGGATAAATGCATATATTGAAGAAGAGGTTCAACGACGACTAGCAGAAAAAGTAAAATTACAAAATGAGCATGAAATAAACAATATGGTTGACCCCTCTCTTTCCACAGAACAGGTGGGTATGATGTTGTCAGCTTTAGTCGTGGAGCAAACTGTTGCAGTGCACTTTTTAAAATGCAGCCACTTCTAACAGCAATAAGCTTAAATTTGCAAGCCTTCTAGCATAAAACATGAGTGTGTTTTTGCATGTCTTGATTTCGGTGGTTGAACGTTAAATCATCTGTTATAAAACCATGTTTAAAATGGCACCTCAGTGAGTTGGTATCCTGAACATGCACCTCCTATGATATTGTAAGAAAATCAGCAGATAAATAAAATAAACAAAAGCAGAAATTGCTGGTGAAATTCAGCAGGTCTGGCAGCATCCGTAGAGAGAAAACAGAATTAACATGGAGTCCAATGACCACCTTCAGAACACTGGGTCACTGGATTCAACGGTAACTGTTTTCTCTTCACAAATGCTGCCACGCCTGCTGAATTTGAATTAATGTTTGAAGTCCAGTAACCCAGTGTTGTGAAGAAGGTCATTGGACTCCATGTTAACTCTGCTTTCTCTATACAGATGCTGCCGGACCTGAGTTTCTCCAGCAATTTTTTTTCTTTCAGATCTACAGCATCTGCAGTTCTTTTGTTTTATTATAGCAGATAGATGATACAGTATTTGATTTCTAAAAGTGCCAATAAGAATTTGCTGTTGATTTAAGTGAGTTTAAACAACACGTAGCAGATCCTGGGATCAAATTTCTTTTGGGATTCTGATCTCGGCAGTGTCATTATTGGGAGCACAGCCATTGCTCTTTGCATCCAAATAGACTAAGAAGGGGGATATTTACCACTTTCACTCTTCATTCTTGCTGGCACTGTGCAAGTTGTCATCTGGTGACAATAAAATAATGACTTTTGAAAGTTACAGCAAGTTGATTGGTCTCTGGAGTAGTCCAACAGTGAGAAGTGAACATCTTCAAGAGAAATGGCAAGAAAATCAGTGAAGAGAATTGGTGAGAAAGCAAGATTCCTTATAGATTTCAGGATGCAAAATAAAAATTGATGATCATTAAATATGCATATTTAGAGCCAGAAGCTATACATGATAAACCTGTCTCCTAAAATGGAATAGGAATCTATTTGTTACGCACTTTTTTAATCACCTGACGCGCACCCCAAACCCTGTCAACCACTATTTGTCTGCTTCTATGAGCGCAAATGAATTCACAATTAATGCCCAGTTCTTAAATATTATTGGATACCCAAATAACATATACAACTGGCAACATGTGTCCAACCAAGTAATCTCGGATTGTTATGAGATAACAAGGTGTAGAGCTGGATAAACACAGCAGGCCAGGCAGCATCGTAGGAGCAGGAAAGCTGACGTTTCGGGTCTGGACCCGTCTTCAGATTGTTTACCACTTCACTTCCACTGATATGTGGTTTTTCTTTGGTGCAGAATATTTTCTGTGCAGAATGTGGTACGGGTTTCTTTATTACAAGAAATGATTCCTGCTTTGTGACAGAAGCCCTAGCTCTTCAAGAAAAATATAAATTGGACCTGAAATAGGTCATTTGGCCCATTGAATTTGCTAAGCCATTTAATGAGGTTATGACTAATCTTTTACCTGATTCTACTGGTCTGCATTGTCTCCATGTCCCTTAATTCCCTTTATATTTAAAAAATTATCAAGCTCTGTCACAGTTCTCTGAAATAGAAAATTCTTGGTTTGAAACATTGAAAGTTTACGTATCCTTTCCGTCACTTATGGAGATGCAGAATGGTGGTTCAGGTGCATGGATTATTCCAGCAGCCGCTGCCGCCCAACACCCACCGGCTGCTCAGAAGTATTTCACAAATTCTGTTTGTAAAGAACAGCAGAGGAACTCTGTTTCTGTCTTCGCAGATGCCATTAGACCTGCAGAGCTTCTCCAGCAGTTTGATTTTATTTTCAGTTTCCAGCATCTGTAGTACCCTTACAACCACTGGACAGATGACTCTGCCCAGAGCTCAGTGGAAGTACAGTGTCCAATAATCCAGTGCTAATTGTTTTAAACAAAAAACAAAATTGCTGCAGAAGCTCAGCAGGTTTGGCAGCATCTGTGAAGAGGGTAGAGTTAACGTTTCAACTCCAATGACCCTTCTTCAGAATGGCATTCTGAGGAAGGGTCACTAAACTCAAACCTTAACTCCTTTTTTCCACAGATGCTGCCAAACCTGCTAAGTTTTTCAAGTTTGTTTTTGTCTTTTGATTTCCAGCATCTGCAGTCCTTAGTAATTCGTATTAAATTAAAACATTTAAACTAGCTTTAAATCAATTGTGTAATAATTTAAAATTGGTAAATGGGAAGCTGAAATGATTTGAAATCAGTCATGCACTATTTGATAAAATTATGTTATCAATATTGTTTGATTCCTTGTAATTTTCCCATTGTGTTTAAATAATACAAAAAAATGGTGATTTCAGTGTTTGCTTTCTGTTTATAATCTGGTTAATGAGTGCCTAAACCAGCATGGTGAGCCCATTAGAATCTGTTGCAATATTTGTATGTGAGCCATGGCTCTTCAACCTCCTAAAGGTATATGTCATGACAAAACTGTACTCTTGTCCCTCTTGGTGAAAGCTGAATCTGTTGTTGCAGTTGGGCACAATTTAAATGAGGTTTTAGGTCTCTGACTCAAAGTGAACAGAAAAATGTAAATTGTTTTTAAAATTGAAGGCCAAGCCATTATATGCAGTTTTCACATCAGTGCTTTGCAGCAAGCAATTTGTGTGACACTTGTCATAAACTGCCTAAATTCCAGTAGTTAACTGAATTATTAACTTGACAGGAAGATTTGTGGCAGCATTGAGTATTTCGTTCCTTTAAAGGATGATGATTGGGAACTTTTAATTTGCTTGAAATCAAATATTGTTCTGGGATACTTGGAAATTGAGCTCCACTTGCTGCTTTTCTGGACACTTGGGTATTTTGGAGGGAATGAAAGAGAGAGATTTAAAAAGGAAGTTACATTTTAAGGGAAAAAAGCCCAAAACATTTATTTTCAACATTAATTCTAGGTCCTGAAATGAACTGGAGAGATGGAACAAAAGCATGCAAAAGTGCATGAATGTATAACTTCTATATTCAGCTATATATGAATGATGTTATGAGAGCTGTTTATGATAACTACCAGTTTTAATTGTTTTCATTTATTAGAGTATCTAGAAGTGTTAACCTAAATGTTTAAAACAAGTTTGAGAACTAATGTCCACTTCTGTATCTAGAAATTAAATAGATGGACCAAAAACGCGGACTTGTTACTAATAGTTATGCAAGCTGCATGCTTTAAGGTTGCTATCTGATGTAAAGAAATTAATGCTGTGTTGATGTTGTAGTCTGATATTTTTAATAATTTGGTGACAGATTTGCATGTTTTGCATTTAATGTTAGTGCTGATGGAAAGATAAAAATCCATTCCAAAAGAATAGTTTGAATTTTATTTGCTGCCACAGCTGAAGACTTGTCCACAAAACTCATATGCTAGTCTATAATAAGCTCTTTGTCCTTGTAACAAGCTTCATGAATTGTGCCCCTGGGTTGGATTCTTAAATGAGACAGCAGATCATTAGATAATGATGGCTATTGAACTGCAGCAATAATAGTGACAGAACTTTTCGACAGATCTGCTCTTGTTTAACAGTCTAATGGGCTTTGTAAAAGCAAATGCTATTTAAGAAAGAATTGAAATAATACTTTGGGCCCTTTTTCAGGAAAATGAAAATCTCCGAAATAATGTGAACCAACGCAAATTGAAGTACAAGGTAGTTTTTCATTGTTTTCTGTCTTGAATTGCTACTTCTTTTTTCACCAGTGTAAAACTCATGTACTATTTTAGGAGGAAGGAAGTCTTTTCAAGCCCTTACTAATTGGATCCAGCAGTTTAATTTGCATTTCAATTTGCGACTAATAGGGGTTATCCAATATCAGCAATTTGAGTGGGTGTATGTCTATATCAATGGTAAATCTGTTAACTTAGTATCATTTGTATGGCATTGTCTGCAACAATAGATCTGAAGCATTCAGCAAAACTGCATGAAAAGTGACTGAAGTACGTGTGAACTCTGGCAAAACTGAAGCTTTCTTATTAAGATTACACTTTTAAAACTCTCTTTAAAAAATGTTTTATTGCATCCATTAGTGTACGTTCATTTCCCATGCTTGATTTTTGTCCCGTAGCTGGGTGTCGAGTGACAGAATGTTTAGGTGCATTACAGGTTGAGTCCTAATCTCCTAACTTGATAGACCAGAAGTGATAAGTGATTACAGTGATATTTTTCATTGTTGGCTCAACAGTACATTGTGGATAACTGCAGGTATTGGTTTGACTGAAATGGAATGCAAAAACTTGTGTATTAAAACTTGAGCATTATTTTGTGTGTACAATGAACAAAACAGTAATCAATTATACACTTGTCACATTATTATAATTAATTTATTCTTGCCATTTCAGAAAGCTCATTTTAAAGGTGATAGATGTGGTGCTGGATTTTACTCTTGTCTCGTTGGTGGGTTTGAAGACGGGAGCACTAAAATTAGCAGCTGACCTGCTCTGCTGCCTACATGTTTCCCACTCCCTACCGCCTCTTCACCCCCAAGTTTAGAATCTAGAATCATATAATAGAGAGGAAAAAAGCCCTTTGGCGCATCTAGTTAGTACTGCCAAAGCTAAACTAAATCCGCCTGTTAGTCCAAACTTTCAGCAGTTGGCCCGTAGCGTTGAATGCTGTAATATTTCAAGTGCTCATCTAAGTATCGTTTTAAAGGTTGAGAGATTACCCACCTCAACTACCCTCCCAGACTGTGCATTCCAGATTCCCACCACCCTATGGGTGGGGGAAAAAAAGCTTTCCTTAGATTCCTTCTAAACCTCTTGCATTTCACTTTAAAATTATGCCCTCTTGTTATTGACCCTCCGTCTAAGGGGAACAGCTGCTTTCTACTCACCCCGTTCATGCCCCTCAATCCTATACACTTCTATCGGGATCCCCTCTGCTCCAAAGAAAACGACCCGAGCTTATCCAGCCTCTCTTCACAGCTAAACTACTCCATCCCAGGCAACATCTGACTGAATTTCCTCTGCACCCCCTCCAGTGCAATCCCATCCTCCTCCTAGCGCAGAGACTAGAACTGCACACAATACTACAGCTGTGGCGTAACCAAAGCCATATACAGCTCCAGTATAATTCTCCTCTTTGTAATCTATGCCATGACTGATAAAAGCAAGTGTCCTATATGTGGCTTTAATTACCCTATTAACTTGTCTTGCTATCTACAGCGATTTATGGACAGACACCCCAAGGTCCCTCTTTCTCTGAGCTACCTTGTGTCCTGTCATTAAGTGAGTCTTGTTACTTTTTCCAGAGTGTATCACCTTGTACTTGCCAGAGTTAATTGTTGAGGAAGTCATCGGGTGGTTTACCTGTCCTGGTGTTAAGTAAGTTGGGCGGCAGTGCCAGCTCCCACGCAAAAGAAAAATCTTATTTTCTGATCATGATTTGGTAATATGTACATTCTGGTTACTATCAGCAATGGAAAAAAATGATGTCTGTCAGGAACTAAACATGAAATATCAAATTTAATGTTGGCAGAGATTTTTTACAAAGCTGCAAGCCAACTTTGCTGAAATTAGGATATTTCTCATGCGCGTCCTTTAAGGGCTATTGCGTTTTCTTTGCTAACACACAGACAACGTATCCACCAGTGATCCAAACTTAGATGATATCCTTTCAATTTTCCACAAATCTGAACCCACCCCCCAAACAATGCCCACAAGCACGCACACAGTCCTAGACATCTGGCCCAGAATGGCTTATTCAGGATTCCTTATAGAGCTGCCAAAATCAAAACTTTTGCCCTAGTTTTACCAAACCTCAAAGCATCCATTGTTCTGCAAAGGAACAGTTCCAACTACGTTGCAGCCAAAATACCAGGCAAGCCCCAATGCATCTCTAACTCCTGCCACCTTTCTAGCATTGCTGAATTTTATTAGCTAGTTCATATTATGTTTTTATTATTTCTTAATGTTAAAATGGTAAAAGATGAAAAGAAATTTATGGTCACTTATGTAAATAAGTATATTTCTTAGGATTCAATCCCCGGATGTTAATTTGTTCAAAAAAAGAGCATTTAATGATAATTAAATGTGACTGCTGTTTCAAAGAGACCAGTTTAATTGCAGTATATACTCTCCATTGTGTTTTAAATGCATGCCATTTATATTGACAAGAGATGGGCATGTTGGAATTGGAAATCCATCAGTAAGGAGCATTGTCCTTCTGATGTGACGCATAATGGTCCTCTGTTAGATCTTGCTCATCGTTTGGATGTCAAACAAATGAGTATATATCTTTAGGTGTCAAGACCTTAGTTAAATTGGTGGGACTGATAGATTCAGGCTGCCAATTGCAGCACACTCGCGTTATCAGGCTGGTCAGTGAATTAAAATGCATCTTCAATAAATGCAGATATGCAGAAATGTCATTGTTAATGAGGGAACTGAGTTTTGTGAGGATTTTGCAACAAAAGTAACCTTGAATCCAAATTTCCAGTGCACAGATCAATATTCCTTTTTTGCACAGCCTACCTTTGTATTTATGATATCAATCAGCCAGTCCTGTGCCCTTGTGACAGTAACGTTTTTCGACAAAATTAGATTTGAGATTTCCAGTAATGAGTGAGTGCTTTTACATTCCTAAAGGTTTAGTTTCCGTGAATGAATGTGCAAAGATGAGTACAGTTTCCTAAAGATCTTTGCCAGCTTTGATATTTTCACTGTACAAATATTTCTAGAGTCCTCCCACTATGGCAGGCTGAAGGCTCATCTTGGAAGGAAAGATGCATGAGAAGCGCTGGCATACAATGCCAACTGAAAACTAGTCCATGACCTGCTTGCATTCTGTTTTGTCTCGCTATCTGCTGAAAATTAATATCAAGCATTTAATAAGTGCTCCCTCTCTGCAATAGAAACCCACAGCTATTTCCTGACAAATTAATGTTTTTAAGTCGAGGAAATCCTAGGATCGGGAGATAACTATTTTGCCTTGTGAGCCTGTTCTGCTAAGTTTAGATCATACAAGTTATGTGCCTTAATGTAGTTCAGCTATCATTTTTAATATCCTCATTGAACAGAAATCTTCTTACTTTCAGTTTGAAAGTTGCAATCCACAGCATTTCGAAAAAATAAATTGTAGAACTGTCTTTGTGAAAAGAATGCTTTTGAAATGCCTGCTTTTCGGATTATGCACAATTGTTTTTAATTGCCTCGCAAGAGGAGGTTATTTATTTGCAAATGCGTATTGAATTTCTTTATCGGTTCAGAAACAACTATCAGATTCTCCAAAATCAAAAAAATAGAAACCATGCCCCGGTCTCATCTTTCTGAAAACTGAATGTAGTGCTCCACTCCAGGTGAGATCTGAACAAGGTTCTGGACAACAGAACGTTTATTTCAGTTATGAATTCAAACTCCCATTGATTTAAAGGCTGATGTTCCATTATTACTTTTGGTTAGTTTTGCATCTGTACACTAGCTTTCAGTTCCTTGTGTACATGGGCACCCAAGTCTCTCTGCTTCTGCATGGCTTCTAGTCTCTCAAAATTTAAAAACAAACACCCTGGTTTTACTTTCTCAGATCCAGAGTGGTTGAGCTCGTAAATCAAACAAAAACTTGAGCATCTTGGATTGCCAGTAAAATATTCATGGGCACAAATTCCCTTAAAATAGGAAAAGGGTCAAAGCCAGGTACCATGGGTAAATAGGAAATTGGGCCAAACTTGAAATGGAACAACACTAGTGCAGATAATGAGCAAAAATCAAAGCAAATGTAAAGAATGTATAAGAATAATTTCATAAAAGAAAATTAGAAAGGCTTCAAGGATAACAGCCAATTAGCATTAAAAATGTTTAAAAATCTTCTGCAACCACGTTATAAGCAGACAGCAGAGTTGCTAGTAAAGCCATTAAATGTTGAAAGGCAGAGATGGTAGAGAAGAAATGCCTTTTTTTTTTAAACCAAGCAGGTGCATATTGGTATAACAGCCACAAAGGGCGAGGAGAGCACTTTTTGGAAGTTGTTATTCACAATAAGTGGTATGGAATAAGTTATTCAGACTTAAAATAGATCAGTTACCCGTTCCTGACTTGTGTGATCCACACTTGTTTCCCTCCTCACACCCCCTCATTATCTGTTTTGCTTCGTTCTTAATTTTAGATTTACAGACTGAAGTGAGGAACTTATAAGGATCTCTAGATGTTTGTTAATGTTTTCTAGCTCGAGTGCTGTGCACTAGTGCAATTAGGCTGCCTACAGCCACTGGCATTTGAAAATGCAATCAATCACTGAGAACCAAGGGACGGAACTTTGCTGTAGCTCTTAAATTAAAAAGAGTTTAAAATAAATTACTTATGCCATACATCAGTTCTGTTGGCGGCTGTTACTTTGTGTACTAGTTTGTCAGTTATGGTTATACTTGAAATTTTAAGGGAATGCTGCTATTTTCAAACCTCTTTAACTGTTGTGCTTTGTTTTCCAAGAAGTTTAGAATCAGGAATTATATCCAAAAAAAAAGCTTTTATTTTGAGCAGTTATTTTGGAATACTGTGTTCAATTCTGATCTCCCTGCTGCAGGAAAGTTGCTAAACTTGAGAGGGTGTGAAAAGATTTACAAGGATGTTGGCAGGGTTGGAGGGTTTGAGCTATAGGGAGGGGTTGAATAGGCTGGAGCTATTTTCCCTGGAGTGTCAAAGGCTGAGGGGTGACTTTTATAGAGGTTTATAAAAACCTGAGGGGCTTGGATAGGGTGAATAGGCAAGGCCTTTTCCCCAGAATAGGGGAGTCCAAAACTAGACAGCATAGGTTTAAGTTAAAAGGGGAAATATATAAAAGAGACCTAAAGGGGCAACTGCTTCACGCATGGTGCATGCATGGAATAAGCTGCCAAAGAAAGTAATGGAGGTAGGTACAATTACAACATTTAAAAGGCATCTGGATGGATACGTGAATAGGTAGGGTTTAGAGGGATACAAGTCAAATGCTGGCAAATGGGATTGGACTAATTTAGAATATTTGGTTGGCATGGATCAGTTGGACCTAAGGATCGGTTTCCGTGCCGTACATCTGTGAATCTTGAGTTACCCTTGCACTTATAAATTGCAATCAAAGTTTTGTAAGTACTTTTGTTATAACAAGAACTTAATATTTCTTTGTCAAGGTTGTCATCTTTTGTATTACTGAATTGTGCCATTCCTCCTGTTTTAATGTTCACTCCTGTATTATTTATTTTGGTGCTTAGTATTTCTTAACAGTCATGTTCACAGCATTAGTTCATTATTTTCTTACTGACATAAAATTTCTCTTGCTTTGGTAGCACTTGTTTTCTAGAATGCAGGAGGCTGATCCAGAGAGTCTAAAGGATCCTATTAAAATTAGTATTCCCCGTTATGTCTTGCGTGGACAAGGAAAAGATGAACACTATGAGTACGAAGTGAAGGTGAGTGTTTTTAAACCTTTCTAATGTAAATATGGCAATTTAAATGTCTTTCATTTCTAAATTCTAAAATCCCCAAGAGAGAAAATTAATTTTCACACAGCAATTGTACTTTTATGAGCACATACCAAATATTCAGTTTTACCATAAGTTAGGCAAGACTTTTTGAATATCAGAGTATCCATTCTGATGTGTGGTCATTATTAACCTGTGATTTATGATGAGTGTGATTAACATTAGAAGTACTCTGAAGGTGATTTTATGTTGATAGAGAGCCTTTGATGGCAGGCATAAAATATCACTGCCAGTGTCACACTTCAAGGTAATGACACAGTCTCCAAAATCTGACATTTTCATCTGTCTCCTTGAACTGAAAGTGCAGAGACTTTCAGCAAAGGATTTGAGAGGTTCCAGCCTTGATTAGAAGTGACGGCTACAAGAAAGGAAAGTAGAGAGCAAAACAGTCATGCACCTCCCGAGAGGCACTCCGAAAATCATCCTATCGTGGAAATGTATTACGACTTCAGCATAACTCAGTCCTAATTCAACAGGGATAGATCACAGGAAAAGTTAAGAATAACTTAATCAGTAGGTGGATCAGGAGTGTGGTCAAATACAAGTATATTTTTGCTTCCAAAACTACGATGTAAATATATTATTATTCTGTGGTGATGGTGCATTGCCACCAACATCTCAGTAAAGAACATTGAAGCTCCTTTGTCTTGCACTCATTGGGACAATTTGCAAAAATACCAATTCAAGGGGAAAATGAACACTTGTACTGCATGACAGGCAAGCAGTGACTGTTTGACAGGTGGACTGTGTTAGCAGCATTGCTATGGAGAATGCACCCATTAGTGGTAATTGACAGTTAACTGCCAAGATTTGTTTAAACTCTAAACCATGCAGGCTGACTGTGGTCTGGGCATTGCCCTAGGAAACGAACTAGTGAACGGTGGTCACATATTTTGCTGAACTGAAACAGATGCAGTTTGTGTACATGAAATAGTAGGAACTGCAGATGCTGGAGAATCTGAGATAACAAGGTGTAGAGCTGGATGAACACAGCAGGCCAAGCAGCATCATAGGAGCAGGAAGGCTGACGTTTCGGGCCTAGACCCTTCTTCAGAAATGGGGGAGGGGAAGGGGATTCTGAAATAAATAGGGAGAGAGGGGGAGGCGGATAGAAGAGAAGATAGGTGGAGAGGAGACAGACAGGTCAAAGAGGCGGGGATGGAGCCAGTAAAGGTGAGTGTAGGTGGGGAAATAGGGAGGAGATAGGTCAGTCCAGGGAGGACGGACAGGTCAAGGGGGCGGGATGAGGTTAGTAGGTAGGAGATGGGGGTGGGGCTTGAGGTGGGAGGAGGGGATAGGTGGGAGGAAGGACAGGTTAGGGAGGCGGGGACAAG